CAGCTAATTTTTTGTATTTTTAGTAGAGACGGGGTTTCACCATGTTGACCAGGATGGTCTCGATCTCTTGACCTCGTGATCCACCCGCCTCGGCCTCCCAAAGTGCTGGGATTACAGGCTTCAGCCACCGCGCCCGGCCTGTTCATAGTTCTTTTATAATCCTTTTTATTTCTGTAAGTTCTGTTGTGATATCCCCTCTTTCAATTATGACTTTAGTAATTGAGTCTTCTTCCTTTTTTCTTGGTCAGTCCAGCTAAAAATTGGTGAATTTTGTTGCTCTTTTCAAATAACAAGCATTTGGTCTTATGTATTTCCTCGATTGTTTTTCTATTCTTTATTTCATTTATTTTGGCTGTCACCTTTGTTATTCCCTGCCATCTGTCTGCTTTGAATTGTTTGCTCTTCTTTTCCTAGCTCAGAGTATATTCTTTTAACATCTTGTTAAGACTGGGTACACATATTTATTAAATTATTCGAGAACAGTATATTGAAATAAAAAATAGGCTGTATTTACATCCCCAAATAAATAAGTTCTACTGTCCACCCAAAACCATGCACGGGCATGTTCACAGTGGCTATTTTCATAATAGCCACAAACTGAAGGCAGCCAAAATGTCAACTTACAGTAGAGAAATTATAGTCGACAAAGGAATATGAAACACAGTTGGAAAAAATGAATACTGACACATGCAACCACACTGAAGGATCTCACAATCACAATATTCAGCAAAAGACTATGAAATTCAATAACGGGCAATATTAATTTCTGGTGATAAAAGAATAGTGGTTACTTGAGGGGTGCCTGTAACTGAGAGAGAATAGTGGAATATTATATTTTTGATCTGACGGGTGGTTACCCAAACATTCACAGGAAAAAGTAATTGCATTTTACACTTAAGATTTGGGTCATTCATATAAATCATACTATAATAAAAAGTAAATAAAATATATAGTGGAGTATCTGGAACCTAGCAGTAGATGTTCAATTTTAGAAACACACATTTTTTTCCTCAAACAAAATAAGGCTACATGAAAATTCAAAGTTATATAGAAAATATTAACCAAAATTTTAAATGACTCAGATTCTTGCACTGTGGCTAAAGTAAGATAATTGTAAATTGCATTTCAAAAGTTGTTCTTGTTCTTAGTCTGTGGTCCTGGCAATGAGTTGTGTTTTGAATTAGGCATTGCAATTTGCTAGCTTAACACAAAGATGATAGACAATTTCTAAATGCTCGAAAAACACTGTGGATTTAATGATACATGGACATTTGTGGATACACTCAGGTGCCAGAGATTTAAGGGAAACCCAGTGGAAACTGGAGCTGTGGCTCCTTAGGGATTCAGCTACTGACTCCCACTGCCCCTTGCCCCATAGATGTACAGGTGTTGGCAAGTCTACTAACTGTCTTGGAAGCAAAAGAAAGAAGTACTGATCAACAGAGAGTATTGTTGAAGTATGACATTTTTTGGAGGTTTTAGCTCACATAAAGCTGTGACAGTATATCTAATGACTTACCAGGAGACTGACAACTAGCAATCAGGGATTATTGTGTTGTCAAAGGAGTTACATTCTTAATTACTTTCTTGGGGGAGAGAAGGTACAGGGGCGGGGGGGGGAGAGAGGGAGAGAGACACTGTAGAATGTATCTACCCGACTGAATATAATTACATGATAATCTCTGAATATACTCTACCCTGTTGCTAGTAATACAACAGCAATAATTTTGCAAGGAATCCAAAGCAGATGTCAGGGCTGTTTCCAGCTAGAATGAAAATAGAAAGTAGAAACTACACTAATATAAATATTAAAGATTGTTTCTAGAAATCATTTAAAGTTCTGCTATTAAAGAACAACTAAGAAAACATATGTTTGTGCATGAAGGCAATTTTCTTTGTGTTCAAACTCTCTTCTCAGTATCTTATCAGCATATGTGTCAGTGCACTTTTTGTTGCTGTGGAAATTTATGTTGTTAGTTGTAGGGTGGGAAATTCTACTGAGATAATTGGGGGAAATTTAGATAGGGTTGAGAAAAGAAGATAGAATTGAAGCCATGGAAAGTGAAGTTCTCAAAGGATATACTCAGGACCAGGTTATCTGGAAGGAGGCAGAATTGAGAGTTTAGAGCATGAGATTCCTCACACTATCCTGCCAGGAGACACAGACACACAGTCAGTTAAGCAGAGTCAGCATGGGCACATCGCTTGGAATGCATGTGATTGTTGCAGTTGCACAAACTTGAAGTGCTCCTGTATTTGTTTCATGCAGGGACCTCCTGTTTCCTTCACTGAATTGTAAGCACTTTGAGAGAACTTGAAAAATTCCATTTAGGCAAAAGTCCATCCATAACATACAGCAATGCTACCATTAATTAGCAAACATTATTCTGGAAACTTCTTTAGCATAGGAGTTATGGGAACAGGTTCCCTGGGCAGGGAGGTGGTTTGGTATAGGAGAGTGGGTCCTGGGAAGGGACTGGGAAGGCCATGGCTTTAGATTTGGTTTTCTGTTATGGAAGAGTAGGCCAATTCCTGCAATTCTGTATGCCTAATCTAAACACCGAAAATGTTGAACCTCAATTACTTTCCAATCCTCATAATCTTTGAATCTGAGTCCCTGGATGGTAAACTCTAGAGGGGCAGGGAATTTTGTCTGCTTGGTGCACAGATATATCTCTGATGTGCTCCCATACCTAACTGTGTCTGTCCCATGGAAGGCATTCAATAATTGTTGAATGGAGTGAATAAGACTTTAGAAGGCATTATCTTCTTCAGTCCAATCAGGTAGGTTGTGGGTTTCTGATTCTATGAGCTCATGGAGCATAGGGAGAGAAGGAAAGAAGGGGGCGGTCTACCTCTCTCTCTGTTGACTTCTAGGCTAGATACTGCCACATGTCCCTGAGTAATCAGATAGACAAGAGGTAACAGGATTCAGAAGCCCTGGGTGTGTGGCGTCTCTTGGCCTGAAAAGCATGGTCTACAAGAAAGCTAATCTGGGCATGGGGCCGCTGCCTTCTCAGCAGCCATTATTTCCTTCACCAGCATTGAACCAAGGGGCATCTTCTGGTTGCCTCTGCATGCTATCCCCTTTGCTAAAAATGGCTTTGTTCCTAGGGAGTTCATTAGTCAAAGCATCCTTGGGAAACCTGCTGTAGTAGAACTTGTAAATTCCACTCAAGTAAGTGACCAACAAAAGTCGTTCTGTGCTTCTTGCCCATCTCTGTGGTTTTCTACATTCCTAGGGGTACCATTTTCTCAAGACATAGATGTTTCTACTCCTCAGAACTGGCGGACAGTAGAGTTGTTTACCAAGTGTGAGAAGCTGGACTGCAAACTTTATTAAGGGGCATCTTTTTTTTGGCTTCATCTTCCTTTTTTTTTTTT